AGAGAGAGAGAGAGAGAGAGAGGGAAAGAAAGAAAGATAAGAAAGAATTGGATAAATAGGAAAGAGAAAGTTTTCCAAGTTGTTACATTGTTTTCTTACGAAATGTCTTTTAATTTACTAATAAATTCTATTATTATAATGTATGTATATATATATATATATGTGTGTGTGTGTAGGCATGTATATATGTATATCATGAACGTTTTTTAAAGTACACATACGCATATGTATGTGCGTGTGTGTGTGTTTGTGTGTGTTTGTTTGTGTGTGTGTACTACATTCACGATATAGATAATTAGATAGATAGATAGAACAGATAGATAGATGGATAAATAAAAAAAGAAAATGAATAGAAGATGATAATATGATATATAGAGAGATCGAATAGATACTCATCGTTTATGTTTTTGATTAATTCATAATGTTTATAATATGAAATTTATCTAAATCTATCAGCTATTTTAAATAATTATTATTGTTGTTCGTGTTATTATTATTATTATTATTATTATTATTATTATTATTATTATTATTATTATTATTATTAACATTACTATTATTGAGAAAATATTGTTCGCATTTGGGAAAACGTTGATAAAGAAATTTTCTCTTCTAGATCATTTCTAAATTATTTTTTAGATCATTTTTTATAAATTCCTTTTTAGATCGACTAGAAACTCAATTTGTTTCTTATTAATTTTATAATAGTTATATGAAATTCGTCTAAATCTATCTGATATTCTAAAAAATTATTAATATTATTATTATTATTATTATTATTATTATTATTATTATTATTATTATTATTATCATCAATCATAATCATTGAAAAGATACGTAAAAGATACGTACGTTTAGGCAGAAATCGATAACGTTACGATAATCGTTTTTAAACTATTTCCTAGATCGTTAATGGATTCATTTTCTGAAATCAATTGTCGGTTTATTTTTCTGGATCATTTATCGGATTAATTTTTATTATAGATCATATTCTAAAAAAAAAAAAAAAAATAATAATAATAATAATAATAATAATAATAATAATAATAATATATTCGAAAGGTTTCATTATTAAACGTAAATACGATCTAAAAATAAGAACAATTTCTAGATCATAGTTAGATCATATTCTGAATTATAACTGGGTTATTATCTAGATCAATTTCGATATGTTCCTATCGATTTCAACTTTCGATTTTATTACAGTTTTCAATTATTATATATTTTTATGATCGGATAAATAGGAATAATAATAATAATAATAATAATAATAATAATAATAATAATATTAATATTAATGATATTCAAAGTTGGTTATTAAACTTGTTTCTTGTTTCTATACATTTTGACATATTCAACTATCGAGAATTTGTAGTTTCTCATGTAATTTTAATTTAGCATGATAAAACATACATCTATATACATATATATATATGTATATATATATGTAAATATTCATGAGCGAACACGTTTCTTATCAATGAAAACAAGGATTTTACTTTCTTTTATCCTTTATCTTTCTTCCTTTTTTTTTTTTGTTTAAATTATTTATTTTATTTCGAGGTTGTTCGTTTGGAAAAAAAGAAAAAGAAAAGAAAAAGAGAGAAAGATAATACTCGTTTACCATCGTCTTAATTTCTTCCTGTTCTTTTCCAAACTCGAAAGACATGATTTTACGAGCTTTTTATATAGTATAACATACGTGTATGCATTATGTACGATGTGTATGTATGTACGAAGTAACTGATAATGAGATATATGAATGACTTCGTGGAATCCACTGATTTGCTTAAGTACTATGCTATCGTCAATATCTTTAATTTGTCTCTCTCTCTCTCTCTCTCTCTCTCTCTCTCTTTTCCATTTTTTCTTCTTTTTTTTTTTTTTTTTTTTTTTTTTTTTCTTAAACGAACAAATAATAAAAAGCAAAGGACATAGATAATTAATTTATAAATGAATTATATTATATATAATACTATATATTATTATGTATAATATTATATATATATATATCATATATACAACATTATATACACATGTATATGTATATATATGTTCTGTATATACACACACATATACACACACATACATACAGGGAGACGCACACATAATACACATACTATATATGTTCCAATAGAAAATATTTTTATATTGTGAAATTATTTTCAACTTAATTAATAAATTTAACATCGTACGAAACAATATATATAAAATTTAAACAACGAAGAAGAGAGAGAGAGAGAAAGAGAGAGAGAGAGAAATGATACAAATTTTATCTTACTATCATAATTATTAATAAATAATTATAAACATTCGAATTATTCGAATAACAGGAATGATGTTACCATTATAGAAAATATTTTTTTATCTAACATATCTTAAATAAAATATCTTAATATCTTTTTTATCTTAAAATATCTTTTTTTATCGAAAGTATTTATTTACTTTTGAAATTATTTTCAGATTATTTAACAAGTTGAACATCATACGAAATAATATA